CTTAGTATACCGCGATGCGTCCAATCAGGGACTAGGATGTGTACTTATTCAAAGAGGAAAGGCTATTGCCTATGCCTCGAGACAGGTAACGGAACATGAGGTCAACTACACCACTCATGATCTTGAGTTGGGAGCTATAGTGTTTTCCCTGAAGATCTGGAGGCACTACCTTTACGGTACAAAGTGCACCATCTTCACCGACTACAAAAGTCTTCGTCACATATTCTATGCCTTACCATTTTTTTTGCTTCACACTTTCAGTTCATGTTATCAGGTCACTGCATAATTTCATGAACTTAAACTTCAATCTTTGCGTTAATCTAATTAGTTATTTCAATAGATGCGTTTCCGATAAAACCATTTACTTTGATTTTATTTGTTTTCCTCCCACTATTTAAAGTTTGTCAATGTTGTTATTGATTTTGTTTAATTAAAACTTCTGAATTAAAAAGAGTTTCAATTTCACACACTTTTGCCTTTATGGAAAATCGATAATGTAACATTCGGTACTATTCATGTAAAAGGCAAATATGGAAAACATTTTTTATCCCTTCATAGTAGGATATGTATATTTTTGATAGTAGATATACTTTGTTTACTAGATAATACTGTAAAAAAAATTATTAATTATATGCAACTTTTAGTCATGAAGTACTTTGGTGTTTATTTTTTTAAAGATTGAATCTATAAGATTTAAATATTGGTCAACTCCATTTTGGATTACTATTATGCCTTTCAATTATTTTTAATGTTATAAACAAATATCACATTCAATTTTTTTATATGAAAAAACTCAAATATAACTAATTTCCTTATTGCCAAAAATAGCTAAAACTTCACATCTCTAAATATTGTTAAAAGAGAAACTGTATGACATCATCTTAAATAATCAAGACCATTGATTATATTTCGATCATAGATATTCCACCTTTAGATCACTTTGTAACATCACCTACCAAAGTTTTGGTAAAAAACTATTTTTTCCATCAATCTTTACTATGTCTAAATGTAACTTATGGTGTTACCTTTAATACCTATAGAATTTTCATAATAGATATTATATCAAATGTCATAAAATCAACAACTTAATTATAGAATCTTTATTCATGTTTTATAATATTTAATTGCTTACCATATTAATCATTCTAATTGATTCTAATTGATCTCATACATAATAGACTGTTTTTCATAAGTCAAACGATATCTCTGCAAAAAAAGGAACTTATAATATATGTTATCTTCTATTTCAAATTTAAATTTAAAATACATTTCAATTTATTTACTTCCTCTTTTTCATCGTTATGTATCTTCGATACATAATACATAATTCTAACCTTTTTATTTTTCGATTGGGATATATACAGTAAAGTCCCAATATTTTCATTGATTTGACAAAAAAGTCCTAAACTTTATTTTTTTGACAGTAAAATTCAAATTATCGGCAGTTTTTGACACTTTTACCCTTTTTTCCCGGTTAGCCGGTAATTAGGATTTTTTTGTCAACAAAATAAAGTTTAGGACTTTCTTGTCAAATCGTCAATTATGAATTTACCGTAAAAAAAATATGACTTTTTTTTGTCAAATCGTTGAAAATATTGGGACTTTAGTGTATATATAATTTTTTTGGGTTAGAAATTTAATGGGATAATACTCTTTAAGCATAAGAGTTATTGAAACCTTCACTAATCTGCTAGATCCTATTGAAATCCTTAAAATTTGCTTCTTGTTAAATCGTTTTATTAATCTCAACAAACCGACATTGAAAAAAATTGAGATAATCAAGAAAGAAAGAACCAGGGTTGTGTTGGCTTTTTGCAGCCCCAAAAATGGAGAAACAAGAAATCGAAAAAATGAAATTGCCCTTCTTTCCCTTCTCCACATTCACACTCTTTTGACTAGGCATTTGTTGTTTGTGTTTGTATAAAGCCAGGGCAATTTCATTTTTTAGGTTTCTAATTTCTCCATTTTTTAGACTGAAAAAAGCCAACACAACCCTGGTTCTTTCTTTCTTAATTATATCAATTTTTTTCAATGTCGGTTTGTTGAGATTAAAAAAACAATTTAACAAGAAGGAAACGTAAAAGATTTCAATATGATATAGTTTATTAGAGAAGGTTTCAATAACTCTTATGCTTAAAGAGTATCATACCATTAAATTTCTAACAAAAAAAAATTATATATACACTAAAGTCCTAATATTTTCAACGATTTGACAAAAAAAGTCCTAATTGACAATTTGAAAAAGAAAGTCATAAACTTTATTTTGTTGACAAAAAAGTCCTAATTACAGGTTAACCGGGGAAAAAAGGTAAAAGTGTCAAAAACTGCCGGAAATTTGGATTTTACTGTCAAAAAAATAAAGTTGAGGACTTTCTTGTCAAATCAATGAAAATATTGGGACTTTACTGTATATATCCCTTTTCGATTTACACAGGAACAATTGACATACTTACTCTATAGAAAAATAGAGCAAAAACTTCTCCAGCCTTGTCATCGACGATCAACGGTATGTACTTTTATACCTTATCATTTTCCGTTTCACACTTTCAATTCTTGTTATCAAATCACTACAACTTTCATGAACTCAAACATCAATCTTCACATTAATCTAATTAATTGTTTCAATAGATGTGCTTCCAATAAAACCATTTACTTTAATTTTATTTGTTTTCCTCCTACTAATTAATGTCTTTGTTAATGTTGTTATTGTTTTTGTTTAAACTAAATCTTCTGAATTAAAAAGAGTTTCAATATCACACACTTTTTTCTTTATGAAAAATCGATAATGCAGCATTCGGTACTATCCATGCAAATGGCAAATCTGGAAAACAATTTTTATCCCTCATAGTAGGATGGTTTTATTTTGTACAAATGAACATAATACCAATGTACTTCTGAACCATAGATACATTGTTATTATGTTTTTATATTTTTATTGTTCTAAATTATTGACTGCTATAAATTTGATATACTTGCCCATACAAAAGAATAACAATGTACTTCTGAATCATAAATACAATGTTATTATATGTTTTTTTTTTGTATTGCTCTTCTAAGTTATTGACTACTGTCAATTTTTTATATTTGTATTGTCGTTTTAAATTATTGAATACTATTAATTTGACATGTTTGTCCATACAAAAGAATTGTAGTGTACTTCTATGTTATCCTGTTTTTTTTATCTGTATTGCTCTTTTAGATTATTGTCTGCTGTTAAATTGACATATTTGCTATTTACTTACTTCAACTTATTTTTTTTCTGTTTTTTTTTTTAATTTTTTATTATTTTGTTTTTGTTAAATATGTGCAGATGTTCGTTTCCATTTAATGATTACTACTTTTTTCTTTTTTTCTAATCTAACACCTCACATTTGACCATTTACTTGACAAGTAATATTGTTTTCTACTATTTTAATAATTGATTGGATATCATGGAATAAAATGATGTAATAAGATGGAATATAATCTTTTGTATTTTAATAATATCTAATAAATAAAAGAAAAAGAATAGGAGGCTAATGGTACTTTCATCTAAAAGTGTAGTTGATGAATACATTATATAAAACATGGATATTTTTTTTGTTATATTGTACTATTAATATATTTTTTAAATATATTTCCCCCATTTACGATACAAACTTTCATTTTAAAAAATAATTTCTTCATACTCCCTAATTGTCGAGTTACTCAAAACCTTACCGAATTACCTTCAGTATCCCCGTCTCATAACATCATACACCTGAATGTGCAATCCACATTTATTTAGTCAAGGTCGTCACTTTCAGAAATAACCAGTCAAGGTAAATTATTCCAATTTTTTTATATTATATTTACCTCCACATTTTAAATCATATATCATCAATTTTAATTTCCCAATATGTTAACTGTATCATTAATTTTTTAATACATATATGTAATGTTTAATTTGTATAAGTCATTTTTCCCTTTAATATCCTATTTAATGAGGCTTCAGGTTGGTTGTCCTACTAATGATTTGGGTGAGACAAAAACATTTGCTAATTGGATTCTTAAAATTAATGAATGTAATATTGGGTGGTCCTAATGATGGTGAAACTAAAGTTGAATTACTAGAAGACGTTATCGTTCGCTCTTCACGTGACCATATTCGTTCAATTGTATTTGACCATTTATCCGTCTTTTGAAAACAATATTGATGATCCATCATATTTTCAAGATAAAACTATTTTGGTCCCTAAATATGAAGAGGTCGATGGTATTAATGACTACATGTTAGGATTGATGAAAGATGAATGGAACACTTATTTGAGTTCAGATTCTTTATGTGAGATAGAGTTAACAGAATGTTTTGAGGAATCAATTTAGTCTCTGGATGTATTAAATGTTTTTAAAGCATATGGAATTCTCAGCCATAAACTTACACTAAAAATAGGTGTTCCGGACTTTCAGTTATGTTGCTTGGTAATATCGACCAACCCAAAGGTTTATGCAATGGTATTAGATTACAAATTGTTAGGCTTGGAAAGTTGTCACTGAGGCACGGATTATCGCTCGTAGATTCTTCAATAAGACTACTTATATACCTCGTATGAAGTTAACTCTGTCTGATAAAAGAATTATCTTCCATTTTCAGCGGAGGAAATTCCCCGTAGATATTTATTTTGCTATGACCATCAACAAGAATCAAGAACAATCATTATCAATTGTTAAATTGTATTTGTGTAGACCCGTCTTCACTCATGGTTAGTTATATGTAACTGTTCTCGTGTAGCAAGTAAAAAAAAAACTTAAATGTACTCAGGAGGAATGTCGTCTAACCAATAAAACAAAAAATATTGTCTATAAAAAAAATCTTCAACAATTATAAATATTCAAACATGTTATTTTATTTTTTAAACTTTTAAATATAATCAAGAAGTCTATTTCTATTGTTTATCATTTTTTTTTGTTTATACGTTCTAGGCGTTTTACTGTCATAATCTAGTTTAAGTTTAAATTAGAAAATAAGAAATGTGGGGTCTTTTTATAATTAGCATCACTAACCTAAAACCTCTTCTCGCCTCTAGCCTCTATAGGGTTTAACATATCCGGAGTACCATAGCCGAGATTCGCCGGAGGAGAAATGGCAACCGTGTTTAGGCGTCTCCTTTCCCCGAAGGGGATGGGAAACATCCACCGATCTCTTCAACACAATCGATTCAGTTCTCCTTCTAGCAGCCCTTTTCCGTGTCAATTTCTCATCAGAAGCCTCCATACTTTTGTTTCCCGGAATTCCTGTTCCCGAAACATGTGTTCCGCTGCTAATTACGAGCCACAGTACGATGCTTCAGTTGCCGCGGCATTGAACTTGGACGATCGTGTTCTGGCCACCGTCATCACTGGTTTCCTCGGTTCTGGAAAGGTCGGTAAAAACATATTCTATGCCAGGCGTGTGCAATTTGTTTTTTCTTCTTCGAAAATAGATAAGAGAATTAAGTCATGCCACTAAACCACATCATGATGAAGTTTTCATCCAGAATTGTCTCATGGATGAAAGGCTTGGGTAAAATTTTCTAGTACATCCGCTTTGGATACGCAATTAACTCTGATTTATTTAACTCCTGAGTCCTGATCATGTATAAATTTGGAATGGATTTATAGAAACTTGAATCTGATCATTCTCGCTTACTTTTGGATGCAGACAACTTTATTGAATCATATTCTGACCGCTCAGCATGGCAAGAGGATTGCTGTGATCGAAAATGAGGTATATGAGATTCAGAGCAATTTTGTGTTCTATGGTTTTAGTTTTCATTCGTTTCTGTTTATATGGTTTTGCAGTTTGGGGAGGTCGATATTGATGGATCCTTGGTGGCAAGTCATTCCTCTGCTAATGAGGATATTGTGATGGTCAGTAATGGTTGTTTATGTTGCACTGTGCGTGGTGAGCTAGTTACAATGCTTTTGGAGTTGGTAAAAAAGAAGCGAGACAAATTTGATCATATTGTCATAGAAACCACAGGTATGTTACTATGTTATGTTGCTAAACACTACTTCTACTTTCAACTGATTTATCCTTAGGCAGAAGGGTAAAACAGTCATTTGCTCCATTGAATTAACAGATTTGTGTCATCCATGTTGCAGGCCTTGCAAAGCCTGGCCCAGTGATTGAAACATTTTGCACAGATGAGCAGATTTCTCGCCATGTGAAACTTGATGGAGTTGTTACTCTGGTTGACTCTAAACATGCTATGCAGCATTTGAATGAGGTCAAACCAAGATTTGTGGTAAATGAAGCAGTTGAACAAGTTGCATATGCAGATCGTATTATTCTCAACAAGGCAAGCCTTTATTTTATTTTATGACTTTTCTCTAAGGATATATCATATATAATATATTAACCAATTGCTTTACATTTCTGCTTAACAATATGGCAGATAGATTTGGTGAGCGATGCTGATGTGGCGGCTTTAACAAAGAAAATACAGGTAGAGTTTTTCTTTACTTCATTTTTCTGTTTATGCATGCAAAAGTACTTAAAATATTGATGAATATTAATTGGATGTTGGATGTTTATTTCCAGCATATAAATGGAATGGCACAGATAAAGCAAGCTAAATTTGGCAATGTGGATATGGATTTTGTGTTGGGAGTGGGAGGTTATGATCTTGACAGGTGATGGTTATATAATGTTTGATAACATTATGATAATTGGTAACATATGATTTTTTTCCTAATATACCCTTTGTAATGCAGAATTGATTCTGAAGTTCCATCAGAGGTTTCTCATTGCGAGAACCACAATCACGAGCATGACCATGGTATTTATCACTTTTACTTTCCTGTATTTATTTTGTTTTTTATTTTTAATTTTAAAGTGACTTGATATGATGATCAATGGTTGTGATGTAATCAATAATCATATATGAATATCATCTGGTTTCTTGATAGAATGCCATAAAGGACATCATCATCATCATGATCACAAACATGATTCTGCTGTATCAAGTGTCAGCATTGTATCTGAAGGAACCCTCGACCTTGATGAGGTAATCATTTTATTTTTCTTCCACTCCTATATAAATGCAATTTTTTTCCATTGATATCAGTAACTATGAATGTACATGATGATATACAGCTTGATGATTGGCTTGAAAGGCTAGTGGAAGAAAAAGGGGACGATTTATATAGGATGAAAGGGGTTTTATCAGTGAATGATTCTGAGACACGTTATGTTTTTCAGGTTCTATTTATGTTCATTTGTTAATTGTGTTTATTTTCTTATCAAGGTTCGTTAATAATAAATTGATTTTTTTTTTTTTTTTGATTGTGGTGTTTGTTGGATTAATTTTAGGGGGTGCATTCGACTTTAGATGGGTGTCCAGGGAAAGCATGGGGGGAAGATGAGAAGAGAATAAACAAGCTTGTGTTTATAGGAAGGAATTTGGATGAAACTGCTTTGAGAAAAGGCTTCAAAGGTTGTTTGGTGTGAATTAAATCTTGAATCTTGGTTAAGTTTTGGTTTTATAATGAAGTAAACTGGTGTAAATAAAAATGTTGAATTTACCAATGTTAACTAAGACACAGAAGATAAATGGGTTTGGGTTGAGATTTGCTACCCGCCAACCGTTTATTAAGCGGGTTGTGTTCGGGTTTGCAAAAAAATTCACGGTTGACCCGTGACCCGTTTATGTTATTAACTTAAAAAAAAATATTATATATGTATAGCTATTAAATAATTAAATAAACTACTAAAAGTTGCACGTGCTGTGCATTTGTCAGCTTTCCTATATGTTAATCGTTCCTTCTTTGCCCTAGAATCCAAATATGCCTAATCAGTTAATCACAAAATACTCGGAAAATCCAAGAGGAAGATGAATTCAGTGCTGATCAAGGATTTAAAATATGGTTATGAAAGCTTCTCTTTTTGGTTAGCAATCGTGAATGACTCTAGGTCAATGAATCTCCATGGTGATTTTTTTAGGGGTAATGGGGAAAAAGAAAGTCGAACTATGACTAGTGTTGAGTTCAGTCGTTCACAGATTCTAAGCTATTCACAGATTCAGTGTAGTCTTGTACCATTTTGTCCATTCACAGATTCAATTATTTACATGGGTAATCTTGAATTCGCAACTATATAAAATGTGAATTTTTTCTTTCTTCCTGTAAATTGTGTAAATTGTTTACTGGTTAACTACTTAAAATGTGTGCAATCAATGAACCCGGACCCGAATCTGACCCACGACACACAAACCTGTATAAGTAAACAAGTTGGTGGGTTGTGTTCGGGTTGATGCACTCAACCCACCAATCCGTGACTTGTATAATTATGAGTTGTGTTTGGGTTGGATTTATTCTGACCCACCAACAGAACACGATTGTCACCCCTGGTAATTCTCATGCCCTAGCACATTTGGTTCCTGGATGGTATATGTGCACAAAGGAAAAAAGTTTTGGTCTAACCTGCAATATTAGAGTTTAATTATAATGTTTATCGGGTTCCTTTTGGGCATTGACCTTTTGTATCAGTCATCTTGATGTTTGTTATATATTTACATCTTATATCGTTCTTCTGGGAGAGACAGTGTGTAAGCTCACGAAAAACTCGAACCCGACTTTGGAAGTACTCAAAATCGATTAGATTTTTATCGATCTCAAACTACTTGAGTACCTTGTCAAGCTAAGCTCGAGTTGTACAATACCCGGCTCATAAAACTTACGAGCTTAATAGAGTATTCATAAAATTGCATATTTACCTTTTATATATTTTAAATTACAAAAATATTTCAACATTTTTTAGCTTTTAGAAACCGATCAAAGAGTAAGGATTTAAGTTGCATTTCAAAACTTTTGAGAATGTTTCTTTTTTGTCTTTTGGATATATATAAAATGCAAAGATATAGATGGTTGATGCAATGTTAACATTAGATGGTTTACTGTGAATTTTTTGTTATTTTGAACAATGTAAAAAGCATGTGGAATGTTTTTAATTTTCGATGATTTTAACATTTTTTAAATATTTTTTCATTTTAGTCGAGGTTGCGAGCTGAGCTCGATAGTATCCGTATTTCACGAGTTTAGTCTGAGCTTTAAATTTAGGATCGAGGCAAGTTCGAGTCGAGTTTCGAGCTCGAGTATTTTTGTTGAGTCGAACTTCGAGCTTTGCGTTACTTGGTTCGATTTGACTCGTTTACATCCCTAGGTGTATGAAATGCTACATCTAGTTTGTTAAGGCTAAGAGATATCCTTACGCGTGAAAAGGGAAGAAAAAAAGGCCACATCATTATTTTCATCATTCCACAACCAACCTACTAGGTTGTGGAAATGGTGTTCACTAGTGAAGTGATGATGAAGAAGAAAGTGATAGACACAAAATAATTCTCCGTCAATCAGTCATCGTTTTCTTCCGTAGTGGGTACCACGCCACAAGACACTCACTCATCTTTGGGGCGATGTTCACGCGTAGCCTACTATGCCACGTAGGCACTACGTGCAGGTTGACCTAATCCATACCTCATGGACTAACAAAGACATACGATTCATTTTACTATTTTTCTACAACTGATTTTTTGGGATAATCACAAAAACATTAACGTGAATGGTCCATTTAAAAAACTTATTGCTTCTCCATTGACGGTTCACCTATTTCCCATTTCCCATTAGGTTAAATGTGAAATTTTAATAAATTATAAAATTGCTTTATTTATTAAAAAAAACCTTTGTAGCACAACATCATTATTTCACCAAATATGAACAATGCAATATGATTTCTTTTCGAATTTTCCCTATTCCTAAGTTTTTATCTTATTTTATGATTTTATGTGGTGTAGGTCGTTCAAAAAACAATTCTGCAATTCACAAAATCCATATTTCTAAACTAATGATCATTTTGTTATTAAAAAAAAAAAAAAAAAAAAAAAAAAAAAACTGTTTTAAATAGTAAATACCATTTTGGTTATTTTCATGATTAACTTTTTTTTTCAACTTGAAATCTTGTTATCAATAAATAAGTTCGTCAAAAGTTTCCAAAAATTACTCTTATTCAGCCGATGTCGGCTTTGAGTTTAAATATCTATCGTATCTATTTTGTTTTAGATATATCGCAATCTTTCTATCACATGTGAAACCAATTAATAAGATTGACATTTAACATGCAATAAACAAAAAAATCTTTCATATGTGAATCACAAACCGATTTATCAAAACTGATATTTGGACTTTTAACTACGTGAATATTGAAAAGAAAGGGCCTCAATGATTTATCTGAATAATGACAATTTCCCCTTGACTATCTTCTCAACTCTCAAGTCTCAACCCATTTTGTCGTTGGGGTGGGCCCGTTACTGCTAGATGGTCGAATATTCTGCTGCTGCCCGTTTTTCCCGGCTTCATCGCGACGTGTCCGTCCATCCTCTCAATCCTTTTGGACCATGTATAGTTTTTTTCCAATAATCAATATACAAATATATAAATAATTCATCAAAATAACTATTAAACACAGTAGTTATTTTGTGACAACTTCAGTATTGTCACACCATACAAATATTGATTTTTCGGATTTTATTAAAAAGGAAAATCAATCTGCAAGGAAAAATGATTACTTAAGAATCCATGACTAAATCTCCACTCTAGAGCAATACACATGACATGATTGCTTTTGACAGATTTTTTTTCTTTGCTGTGAAAAAAATGATTTTTCATAAAAAAATGTTTTTTTTTGGTAAACAATTTGTCATTAATAAAACTTAGTTGAAACTTTAAATTTTGCATAATAAATTAGTTGGTAGCCTATAATTAATTAGCTTGTTAGAAAATTCTTTTTAATAAATAAAGAATTTTTTGCCACATATCATCTTCTCTTTTATTTGGACACATGATATTTTCTAAAATTTTTAATTTTTTTATTTTCCACTTGTTATTTTATTGTATTTTTCATTTTATTAAATTAAAATTTCATATTTAATATGTAAGTTAATATATATGTAAGGTATTTATTAAAAATGATTTATATATGTAATGTATTCAATACATTAAAACCTCATTAATTTTAATAATTTTTTTTTCTTATAAATTCAAACTTTTCAAAATTTTAAAATTTCATATTTATTTATTTTAAATAAATAAATGTAATACATGGATGTCGCACCTAGTATTATAACATAATAGGACAATGTCGGGAAATGAAAAATAATGTTTTTTTAGAAAACTTATGGGAAAAAAAACTAAAATAACTTATTAACAAGTTAAATATAAATATTATATTGCAATAAGCTCAAAATAGAAATCTATTTATATGCACAAAAAATATTCTAAAAACTAAATCAACGATTTATTAAGTTAACTTTTTAACACTTCGTACCTAAAATTTATATAAATAGCCGATGGTAGTCGGTTTTTGTTAGCTTCTTTAATGGTTAACAGTTGTTGCTACTTTAAATTTAATTTCCAAATATATTAAATTATCTAATAAAAATTGTGGGCTATTATTAGTCCATTAAAAAAATTGTTTACCAAGTATTTAAATTTCAGTGTGGAAAATGAATGGTCTTCTTGGTCTCATTGACATTGAGTGTTCGGCAAATAAGTTTTCTTTTGCATTTTAATTATGACATGCAAAAGTACCTTTAAGATTATAATTTGTGAAAGAAAAAAGGAAGTCAAAATATAATCGTTTTATGTAACATATATAAATAGGGAATAATATTACATTAAAGTATTATTTGACGACTTAGGAATCTTTTTAAACTTATAAATTGGGCACCGAATTTTTGATTTACATATTATCGGTTAATATAAGGGGGGGTGAGGACGTGGCACGTGACCGCACGAATATTCCAGTCCGCTTGTATGCCGGAGGGAATAAATCCATGCTGGCAATCACCTCATAGCTGTAATCAGCTACCTCTCATCAACACACCAACCCGTACACCCAACTCTAGACAGCCGATAGATGCTTTTACATTTTCCAACTATATCAAAGAGTCAAATAATCGGACGAGTAGGATTATAACAAGTGTTATTATCTTGTGACGGTAGTTTTTTTTTTCTATTTGTTTTTTGCAATATTATAAAAAGATAAAAGAATATAAGCCGGCTAGGGGTTGTCATGCTGTTTCAGATTCGTCGCCGATCTTTCCTCCCGATGTTCCTCGTCTACATCATAAGTGTCTTTTTCCACTCCCGCATTTTACTTTCCTAATCTACTCAAATTACCAATATACCCTCGCTTTCTAACTAACACCATTGACCAATCATGTATTTTACTGTTATATATTCTTCTTGCGAGCCATATGTAACTTTTATTAAAAAAAAAAAGATTTATCCTATAATTTGAATAATTAGTTTTAGTGATAGTTTCATTTTTTTTTTTTTTTTTGTTAATTGTCACATTCTCATTCAATTTGTCAAATATCATTTATGTTTATCTCGAATTTTTTTTTTCTTTTCCGATGAAAGTATTTCCCCACGGGGTACGGATCACCATGTGGCGTGGTGGGTGTGTCAACATCACCCCAATCCAAAAAGCTTTACACAAGATGCAGCCCACTACACTCACACCATCTCTAGAGGTACTCGTTTGGATGGATCGTTTCAATCCGATCCAATCGAATGAATAAAAATTAATTTCAATTTTCAAAACATTGATCAATTAAGTGAAATCAAATCAAGTCATCTCATCTTCATTCTCTCAATACTTAATAGGTTTTCATTTTTTAATCGAAATTGGCTTTAAAAGGTAGGAGAGGTTTTATTTCGCTACAAAAATGTGTAACTGCAATTCACCAATTAGCCTTCGACACCGGAGTGTAACGATGTAAATTTTCAAACCAAAATT